CCTATTTTTATGTGATTACAAATATCCATCCATCCATCAATACGGATGATTTGAGCAAGAAGCTTTTGAGCACAGACGCATCTCTAATTGAAACAGGATCTGAACCAGCACTTCAAGCAACAGGCTTATTCTTTCTTCTGCTTCCTAGAAATTGCCATTTGGTAATCTTCACCAGCAGTCATGGCAATTCTCTTTTAAAACACAGATTCCCTGGTTCCACCCCAAACCTACTGAATCAGACAGTCTCAGGGCCCAGAAGTCTACATGTAGGTCAGATACCCAAGGTGAAGTCTTTTTTATTTATTTATTTAAAGCAATTTTCCTTTAAAAGATTTGGTTTTGTTTTATGTGTATGAGTGTTTTGTCTGCATGGATGTATGTGCCCTGCGTGCATGTCTAGTGCACGTGGAGGCCAGAGAGAGTTCTGGATCCCTTGGGATTAGAGGTAGAGAGTCCTTTGTGAACCGCTATGTAAGTGCTGGGAACCAAACTCAAGTCCTCTGCAACCACCAGAGCCGTCTCTCCAGATGGCCCTGGTGAAGCCCGATCCATAACTACACTCCTGGTCACTTCAATACACACACGACAGAACAGTACAATGGGAAAAAGAAATACATTAAAAATGAACCAGGAAGGGCTGGAGAGATGGCTCAGAGGTTAAAAGCGCCAACTGTTCTTCCAGAGGTCCTGAGTTCAGTTCCCAGCAACCACATGGTAGCTCACAACCATCCCTTATGAGGTGCCCTCTTCTGGTGTGCAGATATACATGGAAGCAGAATGTTGTATACATAAGAAATAAATAAAATCTTAAAAAAAAATGAACCAGGAAGATAGAGCTTCTTGTGCGGATTCACCTTAGCATAAATTTACATCTGTGCTTCAAAACAGACCAATATAAGCTTAGGATGGAAAAATTCAGGCTTACAGGGACTTCACTTAAGTCACAAGTCTGGAAAATGGCCCAGCTAGTTCATGAGACTGGCTTTATCTGACTCCAGTATCCTCATTCCATTCTATTAAAATCATATGCTCAGAAAAAGAGATACATTATTTAATAGATATATGATAAAAGGCAATGGAATTAAGTTACTTTTAGAAACTTTTTGCAACAACAGAAGGTTTTTTTTTAATTCATTCTTTTAGGAGAGATTCTCTGATTTGTCTATTGATAACGGAATACAGTGTTAACATCACTATCAAAACCACCTGAACTTTAGTAATGAGAAATATATTTGGGAGCATGCTAAGGCCAATGATTTATGCAAGATTTACTCTTGATTTGTGCAAGCTATAAATGTATGCAAACAAAACCACTTAATATTCAGGTGCATATCACATTACATACCACATTGTGGGCAAAGGAAAATGCCCACATACACATAAGAACCTCCTGTCAGTCTCATGCTCTTGGGCCCATCCCTCCTACTCCAGGGCCCAACGAAAGCCACATTCCAGAGGCTTCTGGAAACACACTCCTCTGAGGTTCTTTGCTCTCTTGATGGGTGTCTTTCTGCCTCCCCAGGTCATTTCTTTTCTTAAAAAGTTCAATAGTCAATCACATCTTCCTATACTGCAATGAAAAGCCTCTTCTCTCACCTTTTCTCCTCCTGTGTGCCAATAACTCCTGAACTGGCTTTCCCCTCCCTATGGAGTCCTGAGCCCCATCTGGGTGAGAGATAGCAGCTTCAGTGTTTTACACGCAGTACCCCCAGGATGCAGCTCGTCACCTCCCTCTCAGGGTCACCATGGCACCACGGCTCTGGGAACGCTGTGCCAGCGCCTTCTCCAGCGAGACAGCTGACTGCCGTTTCTTCCCATCTTACTACCCACAGCCCTGACTGGATACCATCTACTCTGGGCCAGCCCCTTTTCTTGGTGGACTGCAGCACCCCTCTTCCTGTATCCTCTTCTCCCAACCTCCTCTAAGCTATGCACAAGAGCAGGCTCCTATGCACAGCCGTGACATTTCCTTGTTCATTAATGACACCATTGATTAACACATTCCAATTTCCTAGTTGGCATTCAAGACCATTATTGTTCAGCAACAAATATTCTCCAGTTCTGTTTCCCCCTGGATGCCTGTATAGACCAGTTCTAACTCAACTGGACTGGATACTGTCCACAGACTATGCTCCGTGCTTCCTTACTCTTCCTTTATTCCTACTTCAAATGCCTTCTTTTTACACTCTGTACACGTCTGGAGACACATACACACACACATAGACACACACGAGAGAGAGAGAGAGAGAGAGAGAGAGAGAGAGAGAGAGAGACAGAGAGAGAGAGAGAGAGAGAATGTGTATATATGTGTGTGCCCATGTGTGTGTGTATGTCTATTTCTTGTTGGCTTTTTTTCAAGCACTATTAACAGGCTGAGAGGGAAATGTCAGTTGTTTCTCTGCTAAATTCTCCAGTCCCTCTAGCAGGGTCATACTTATGGCAGCTACTTAAATATTTGCTGCGTAACATTTACAGAACTTCCTAAGCGCACAAACCATGTGCACACTCATGATCTCATTTCTTTTTATACGAGACCTATGTTGTAACAAGTGGCAGTCAGGTCACACAGTCTGACTTCCAGTGCTTACTGCAGTTCCTGGGGCCGCCTTTGGCTTCCTATTGCATTAATCAAACAAAAGTGTTTGTGTTTCTTCAGTTCCTTTATTTTAGAATACCCACAGCCCTCTGCTCTACAAAGCTAAGAGAGAGAGTTTTGAATCAGAAAGTTCTCTTGTCAGACTGCATCCCCTCCCCCGCCCATGGGCCACGCATAAAAATAAAAAAAGGCCTCCATTGCAAGCGACAGGAATGGAAAAATGAAAAATTTCAAGTTAGATTTTAAGAGTTTGAAAAATGAAAACTACATAAGTCAATCTCCAACATTCTTAAAGTTGATTACCAACAGAAAATCACTGACAGCTGGACAAATAATTCCTTGCTAAAAGACTGGACACGACTAATATAATTATAAAAGTATAATAATATTTTTGAATACCCAAGAATCTCAGAGAAGTTCAATAAAAAAATGAATCCAAATAAATTGAAAGCATAAGTTTAATAGACGTTAAAAGTGGAAAAGAATGAAAACTCAAATTGAAAAGCAAGACTTTGAAATGCCCATTATTATAGTCTGTTCCTGTGTCAACTGGCATTGCGAGGCTGCTGTACCAGTAGTAAGAGAAAGTCACGACCGAGGGGACTGGCCCACCCATTCTGCCTCTTTGGACTACAGGTAGAAGTTAGACTGTAAGCTTCTGGAGGACAGCCGCTTAACTGTGAACTCTGTGGTCCCAGCAAAGCACTGTGTACACAGGATACACCACAAAGGATGAGCTAGCTGCGCAGCCTACGGAGACCTGCCACTATTTTCCATCTCATTCCTTTAAACCTCTTCTTCCTCAACTCTTAGTACCGTTGAGGAGTAAATTATTAACACACTGCCTGGCACATAAAGACATACAACCATTTGACAAATGGTATTTGTTACTGCCACCACCCAGGACTTTGTAACCACCTCCAAGGTAGAGCTTAGTGTGTTGGGCTGCCAATACATCTATGTGAAAACTGGAAATGTCGCTTCCAGCTTGCGCACTCGACGGCTCGCAGAGGGCTCACCCTACAGCAAGTGGAGAGGCTGGCTATGTGTCTGGGAAATACATTCCTGCCTTGACCTCAACCCACTGGAGGTAACAAGAAAAACTCATTTGAACTCTCTGGGCTTCCGTCATGTTTTGGGGTCCATATGACTTTAGGAAGCCACAGATCTATCAAGACATGTACAAAAGCTCTCATAAAAGCTATCAGCAGAACTAACACGAGGCGCCAGTTGCCTTGAAGCCCTGTTTTCTGGATCTCCCTCACCACAGGGGCCTGGCACACCATGTGATCTCAATAACAGGCTGTTTTAGAGTCATGGAAATTTTGTAGTACACAAACCTGGCAGGTAGAGATCATGATTCAGACACCTTCAGGAATCTTTCAAAAACTGCCATTTCTTATTTCATGTAGACTAAGGGAAGGTGTACATTTTCATTACCTCAGTTAGAACACACCGGCCTTGACAGAGTTAGTTTCTGTGCCTTGGCAGAAATCACTTGGGAATCCTTGGTTCTGAGTCCTCCATCTCCTCCACATCAAGATCTAAGAGAAGACAAAAGTATGCAGTGTTTCAGGACTAGTTTCTAGGATTCAGTATTTCAGCCACAAAAGTAATTGCAGTTAGTATATGGGGAGCGCCTCCTGTATGTCAAGGACTGCACCAAGGGCAGCCAGTGGATGGGTAATCTCTGTAATGCCCCTCAGCTGTAGGAAACATTGACCCATTTTACAGCTACTAACACTGCCATGAACCTGTTGCTGGAGGTCACACAGTTAAGTGAGCTCTGGGACTCAAACCCAGGTTAACTTGAGCACAAAACACTAAGTTGGGGTCTTAAAGGCTTTTTTGACAGTGACCCATTTTTCACAGATTATGTTATATAAGCCAGAGGCTTCATTAGACAATACACATCTTCACTATATGCAATGCTTACTTTTCTTTTAGCCTTTTCTACCGTATTGTATATTCTAATCTTTTAAAACAATTTTCAGCAATGACCCACCAAAGGGATTCTACCAATGCGTTGTCTGGTCTTGGAAAAACACTGGTTTGTCAGGCGGCGCTGCAGAAGTCTTTAATCCTAGCCGTCAGCAGACCGCTGCAAGTTCGAAACCAGCCTGGGATGCATGCTTATTGAACGTTCTAGGCTCCTTAGCGAGACCCTGTCGCAAAACAAAAACTCTGCTCTTTGATCTCAGCTACAGTAAGTCACTATAAGTTTCTCCGGAACCACAACAAAACTCCCCTTCTTTCCAGCCACGGGAACCGGAGCGAGTACTTAAGCTTCCCCGTTAGAACAGTCTTTAACCTTTCACATAGGTATACACTACATAAACGCATATCATCTAGAATAGATCATTAGAAAGGGATTTTCAATCAGGCCCAAAGTCCAGGATGGAATCAGGCACTTACCCTCCGCGAAGCAGTAGTTATAAAGTGGAACCGCAGATAGGCTAAAATCTCAGGTTATTTATCAGTTAACCTGCAAAGAAGTGTCTAACAGCGGCCGGACTGTTGAGTTGTCCCAACAGACCTAGGGCTGCAGGAGGAGCAGGAGGCCGAGGCTGCAACCCCCTGGGGGCAGGGCCCTGCCTTTGCACGTCCGGTTCAATTCCAGGGGCTTGGTGTCGCACCAGGATCTCATCGCGATCCGGTAGGGTCAGGACTCAGCTCGGGTCCGCGCTTCAGGGGAGGGGAGGTGCTGCAAT